TGCCCATTATTTTACAGAATAATCTTTGGGATGTACTATAACTTTGTTTCAATGTGGAAGACTTCAAAATGTTTGGAAAGTTGTTGAAGAATTGAAAAGATTATAGGTCTTTTGTGAATTCTCCCAAATTTGTTCATCATCTTCCAAAGACCATTAATCTCTCAATTTTTATTATTTTTGAGTGATCTAAATTCCACAACTCAATTTAAGAGGTCTACTTTGTTTCATCTTCAGATATCAATACCAAATTTTGAGTGGAAGGTCATGTAATTTTGAAGAACATTATAGGTCATTTTGAGGTCTCATACTTAGACATATTTCTAAGAACAAAAGTCAGTTTTTTCCACAATTTCAAAGTGATGTAACTTTTTGCAAAGATCTCAAAATGATCCTTTTCTTGTCACATTGTAAAGTTTGTGACCTTGTATTTCAAATGATTCAAGAATCATGTCATAAAGCCTCCTGAACTGTGTGCACCATGGATTCAAAGTTGGTACCTTGGAACTGAAGTTTCACTTGCATTCAGATTACAATTTCCATAATGTGACTTCTAATAACAAAATTTGTGTGTGTTTTTCACGTAAACATGATTAGCGTAAATGTTTGGATCATTTAGAGTGTCAAAACGCATCATTTGGATGAGTTTTGATGCACATGTGATCACTTTTACCTCATGACCACAGGTGTGCACGATTTCCACTAGAATTGCATCATTCACCCCCCCTCCCATTGATTCCATTCACTTCTCCTATAAATACACAGCATATTCCACCCGTTTTCGAAAGCTTGAACATCCAGAATTACCCTGCCAAAATATCTCCATAGCTCATAATTCTAAGATTTTGAATTCACTCTTCCTTTGTTTTTCAATCCAATTTCTGTGTTCATTCGTCATCCTTGAACTTCAGTGAAGCTAAAAGAAGAAGAAACAAGCCTTGTGGTGTCCTAAATTGTGCTAGCCAAGTCAAGTTTCAGAGCTCTGAAGTTAAGCTTCAACAGGTAGATTTCTCCATCAATTCTCTCCAAACTTGTTACTACAATGTAGCTCTTATCACTCTGATACTCATAGAATTGTTGGTTTTTAAATGGAAGTGGGTTTTGTTCATGAATTTTAAAATCCTTTTTCAATTATTTCCTTATGGTTTTTTGCAAATCGACTAAGATGTGGTTTATATAAATTTTTCACGAGGGTACAGTTGTCTTCGTCTTGATGAGACGAAGCGAATGACATTGGTCTGAATCTCTATTTTTACAGTTTTAGGAACCTGGTTTTGAGGTTGGCTACAGGTTGAAGACGACCACGTTGGCGTCTTCAACCAATAAGAAATTTCCACGCGTTTTTCAAATCTATTTTTTAAAATAATTGATCCAGTGTGTTATTCACTAATGACCATGATATGCACAGCGCGCCACGCGTTTTGACATTGATCCAATGCTCTACATCTTTTTGGCTTTATTTTTATTTTCTGATTGTATATTTTAATTGTTTTAAACTTCAAAAATTCATAAAAAAATTCATTTCGACTTCTAAAATTCTAAAAAAAAATACCAAAAATACTCTTGATTCTTCTCTTTCTGATTTTTTTTCACAATTTTATTTTGTGATTTGATATTTTTTTTATTATTTTTCACTTTATTTGACTTGTTTTAATTGTCTAAAAATGATTTTCTTGATTTTTAAATTTTGAAGAAAAAAATTATGGAAGGATCCAATGACCTCTTGACAAATATTTGTGACCTCTTTTTTTTTTACAATTTTTCACAAATTTTAGTTTATTTTTCTTATTTCTTTAAATTTTAATAATAGTTTCTGACTTTAAAAAATTCTGAAATTTTTTGTCAACACTTATTGACTCATGTTTGACCTCTGGTTTTTTTAAAGACTTTTATTTGGTGTTTTAATATATGTTGTGTATTTTATCAATTATTTCCTTTTTAAATCATTTAAATTTTGTTTTATATTAAATATATTTTACTATTTTTTATTGGTCCTAATTTAGAGACTTGGGTGTTTTTTTAGACAATTTTTTATTAGTCTCAATATTTATACAGCTACAATACCCCTTTAATTACTAATCTCTTGAGATGGGAACCCATAAATAGAACGATAGCCACACATAAGCTCTCATCCAAGACCTCCACTTCTCAGTAAACCCAAACCAGATAAGCATATAATCTAGAAAACTCCAACTGGCTAAATCATACGCCTTCTCAAAATTCTCCTTTAAAATAAGACAAGATTTATTTTTTTCTTTTGGCGAAATAAATCACCTCATTCACGGACAATACTCCATCAACCAATAGCTTCCTATAAGGAGTTCCTATTTTTTAGGGTAAATAAGCGTATCCATCAAAACTCCAAGTCTAGTAGCCAACACTAGCCATCAACTTTAAAAAGATTCCACCAAAGAAATTAGTCTAAAATATCCTAATTGAGAAGAAGAATTAGTCTTAGGGATCAAAATCATTAAATAAGACAGAAAACTCTGTGGTAGAGATGCAAAAACGATGAAGCTGGAAAAACATAACCCTGAAGTATTTCTAAATTAAATTCCATAACCTTTTCAAAAAGGAGAAATTATAACCATTCGGATTTGAGCTTTTGTTTCCCTTGCACTAAGATATCTCACAATCTAACTTTTGAAGACTAAAGGGTGTTGTAAGAGAAATATTGTCATCGTCTGAAAGAGATATAGAACTATGTGTTTACATGTTTACTTAGAAAGTGATCAAAGCTAAGCAAGTCATGCCTAGACCTATCATGTTTTTGATGATGACAACTAATGATAACTCGTGGAGATAATTGATGACAACTTGATAATAAAGCATGAAGTCAGTCAAGTACTAAAACTATCTCAAGCATTCAAAGATGCACAAGACAGTTTGTTCAAGTTCTTCCTCATAATAAAGTCGAAGTATTAGGATTTAATTATCTCTATGATATCCTCTAGTGATGGTGTCTAACTTGAGGATATCTCAAGCCTCATCTCCAAGAAGATTCAAGTGAAGTGCTTATGTGATTGATGTATTTGATAAAATCTTGAAGCTTCAGAGTGTGAGTGATCAGTGTTTTGTAAAAACACAAGGGAGTTTTTGTAAAGTAATATGGATAAATTACACACTCAAAAAAAAATATGTTTAAAACCTATATTTCTCAAAGAAAATCACCTAAATATGTTTTGGAGTCTATCAAAATGAATTAGAAATTGTCATAATCATTAAGACATGTTTTTTAATCTATCCAATTGATTTGAGCATATACCCAATTGATTGGGTAACTGAAAAACAAGTTTATAATCAATTATAACAATGTCTTAATGAAGGATAACAATTCTCTGTCAAATATTTTCAAAATGGGAAATTATAATCGATTATTTAGGTCATCCAATTGATTAGAGTGAGGATCAAATCAATTAGACAATTAATTTTTCCTACGGATAGTTTCCTTTTTTAATCAACCTTTGTCCTGGAAAAGGGGTCTTTCCCTTTATTTTTTCACATCTAGAAACATGAGTTATCTCACCTTCCTTCTTCTCTCTCTCTCTCTCTCTCTCTCTCTCTCTCTCTCTCTCAAATATTTCCACTTTCTCTCACATGAATTTAGCCATAGCATTTTGAGAAAGATTCTTGTGTTTACATGATGAAGTTTGTTCTAGACAGGGTAATCTTGTAAATTCCCTGAGATTTTTTTTCTCTTGAATGAATGTTTATTTCTAAGGAAGTGTTTGTTTGGGTTCCAACCTAAACTCGTTGAAAGTATTGGTTTGGGAATTTAGTATTATGTCTCTATTTCGTTCATGAGCTATTCATTTAAAGAAAAACTCTCTTTCTCGAATCTTGAAGATAACTAGTGAAAATTCTTCTTATCGGTTCGTTAGGTCAGCCCAGTGTAAAAACTCAACTTGGTTTGAGATCAGCTTGGTGTAAAATCCGAGTTGGGTTCGTGGTTAGCATGTGTAAAACCTCGGTTGTGTTCGTAATCAGCTTGTGTAAAACCCCGGTTCAGTTTGAAGGATAGCCAGTTAAAAAATTCACCTTGGTTTGAGATAAGCCTGTATAAAATTTTGGGTTTAAGCTTGGAGACTAAGCGCTCAAAGCTTCATTCGTGTTTGAAAGCAGGACTATCCGCTTCAGTCCATTGTTTGTTGTTTGGTTGGAAGTAAACCTAAAACTTCAATTTTCCTTGTATAAGGGGACTCGTGAGCTTAACCTTCTAAAAGCTCATAATACTTTTGGAAACTCTCAATATCAATTATTATGGAGAGGAGTAGGTCACGTCGTTTAGACGGAACCTCTATAAATCCTGATGTAATCTCTCTCCATTATCTCTTTTTTGTGCATATTTTCTTTCTATTGGTTTTCCGATGCAAATTCTTTTAATGTTTTCAAACTCCGATTTATAAAATACTCAAATCCCTTCAATTCAAACCCCTCTCTTGTTTGCGGAATCACATGTCCAACAAGAGAATGAAAGACAAACAATATTTAAATAGGTTCTATCAACATTTAAATCCTTAAAATGTACAGTAAAATACTTAAGAACCTTTTGCCTAATTTCAACCACCCTCTCAACACAGCCTTCTCCCACCTTAAGAGCTAAAATAACATTTCTTCTGCCCAACTTTAAACTCTGACATGGATAACTTTAGACAATTTTGATAGAGAGAAGTGAGAAAGAGAACAAAAAGAGAGAAAAATATTATGTGAGAGAGATAGAGACAAAGTCAAAGGGCAGTTCTCTTCAAAAAATCGGAAAAAGATGGGAATGTGTATTCGTATGAAATTTAATAGGGAATATTTATTTTAAAAAATCGGAAAAAAATATATATTCCAAACCTTTTTTTATTTTTTTGAATTACAAGAAATCAAATTTTCATACATATATTTTCAGATAATCTATTCATAAAAATTACAAAAATCTTTAACAAAACACGTAGAGAAAAACAAATTCTAATCAAAAGTGAACTCTGTAAACAACCTAGTATACAGTCAAAGGGTTGTCATTGCGATTGGATCATTCCATAGAACATAGACTCATCGAAACTAACATCTTGTTGACAACCTTCATAATCAGAAACCAAAGGTGAGTTAATCAAAGACCTCATATCCCCCCAACTAGTGCTTTCTATTGAATTCAAGTTCGTGCTACCACTAATCCTAGTTGATCCATAGTCTTCTTGTTGCTGGTTCACACAGGTCAACTCTGCAGAAGTTACGTTATTCATTGTGGATGGATAATATAGTTCATCTTGTGGGAAGTAAATGTTAGCATTTACTGGCTGCAGTTGATTATTATCATAGAACTCAACTTCCTTGAGGTTATAGTCTTGCATAGAAGAAGCACTTTCTCTCTTGATCTTTTGATTTAGGATGAAAACTTGGCGAGTTTCAGATTGTTGCTCTTTCGTTGGCTTTGTCAAAAGTTTCTTCTTCAACCTTGTGTTCCAGTGGTTCTTTATATCATTATCTGTTCGTCCTGGTAACTGTGCTGCTATAACTGACCACCTGCACATATAAGAGTATATTCTTTTAGTATTTATTCAACGTAGGCAAAGTTTATTATCCGTTTGTCGTTTGTCTTTTATTTCTGTATAATCTTTACCTGCTTCCAATATTGACATAGAGGCTGCAAATAATGTTATCTTCTTCTTCGGAGAATCTCCCATGTCTAAGATTTGGACGAAGATAATTTAGCCATCGAAGACGACAACTTTTTCCACATCTTTTGAGGCCTACTACAAAAAGAGAAATTAATTAGTGCTTTAGCAACATATATAAGAGTGTTTGTATATCATTTGTTTTATAAATAATAACAATACCTATTTTCTTTGGAAGAGCTATCCAATTGCCAGCAGTACCATGTTGTTGGATATAAGCTTTGAGTTTAGAGTCTTCTTCTGGTGACCATGGACCTCTTTTAACATTGGCTTTGTCACAGCAAGGTGATCTTCCCATGTTTCCTTAGTATGAGTTTCAAGTAAAGGAAGAGTTGATTATAAATTGATGAGAATGGTTATGTAAAGGGGAAGAAAGGAGAGAAGGACATGTGAACAAATAGAGTAAGATAGATAATTGACTAGAGAAAGAAGGGGAAAAAAACAACAGGATGTGTATGGAAGAAACAAAAGGAATTCCATCTTTTCCTTTATATTTTATTTCTTTGTCTATAACTCTTTCCTTAGTCAAATAAATAGTATATTTTAAGTACCACATGCATTTCATTGTCAATGAATAGCATTAAAGTTGTTGAATAAACTTTAATATTATAAATGGTGGGTTTCTATTAATAAGATAGTGGGAAGATTAAAAGTCTATTGTAATTGGAAGGTTTAGAGATAGTGGGTTATAATAGTATTTACTAATATTATTTATTTTCCTAAAATAGTAGAAGTCCTTGAGTCTATATAAAGACCAAGATTGTATTCTATTTGATAACAAGAGACAAAAGTATTTGCTTCTTTTCTAACAAATTGGTATCAGAGCTTAATGGCAAAGATGATGAATCAAATGCCGTTGCCATGGCTAACGAAGTCAAATTACGAAAACTGGAGTATCCAAATGAAAGTTCTTCTTGGATCTCTAGACGCGTGGGAGGTGACCAATGATGGATTTGAGGAACCAACAGAAGTTGCAGGACATACGACAGCTCAAACTAAGGCGTTGAAAGAGACGCGATCGAAGGATAAAACGATACTATACATGTTGTTCAGGGTTGTTGACTAATCAGACTTCGAAAAGATTGTCGATTCGACTACGTCGAAAGAAGCATGGGACACGTTAGAGAAAGTGTTCAAAGGAGCAGACCGAGTGAAGAAAGTTCGACTCCAAACTCTTCGTGGCGAATTGGAGAGGATACAGATGAAGGAGGAAGAAATTGTATCTCACTACATCACACGTGTACAAAAGGTAGTGAACCAACTCACAAGAAATGGTGAAACAGTAACTGATGTACGAGTTGTTGAAAAGATTTTGAGATCTTTAACAGATAAGTTTGAGAATATTGTGTGTGCAATAGAAGAGTCGAAGGACCTTTCGACACTCTCAGTCGAAGAGCTCGCTGGTTCTCTCGAAGCACATGAACAACGTTAGTTGAAAAAGAAGGAAGAAGCAGTCGAGGAAGCAAATCAAACCAAGGAGTCGATCAAAGACGAAAAGGTACTCTTTTCTCAAAAATTTCGAGGAAGAGGACATGGCCGTGGTGGTCGTGACAGTGGTCGAAATGGTCGAGGCAGCAACTTCGAGAGAGGATATTAGAACCAACAAAATTGGCGTGGCAGTGGACGTGGTCAAAGAGGTGGTCGATTGAACCACTCCAACTTCGAATGCTACAACTGTGGGAAGTATGATCATTACGCGAAGGATTGCAATTCCTACAAATGCTATAATTGTGATAAAGTGGGACATCTTGCAAAAGATTGTCGAATCGAAAAGAAGGTAGAAGAAACAACCAATCTAGCCTTGGAAGCTGAAGCGAATGAAGGTTTTCTCCTGATGGCTCAAAATGAAATCAACACCAATAATGATAATGTTTGGTATCTTGACTCAGGAGAAAGTAATCACATGTGTGGTTACAAACACCTGTTTAAAGAAATGAAAAAAAATTGAAGATGGTAATGTGTCTTTCGGAGATGCATTGAAAGTGAAGGTCGAAGGAAAGGGAACAATTTGTTACTTACAGAAGGATGACTTGATTTAATCAATCAAAGATGTTTACTATGTACCAGATCTCAAGGCCAACATCCTGAGTTTGAGACAACTTACAGAAAAAGGTTTTTTGATACTTATAAAAGATCGAATACTGCATTTGAAGGACAAAGTAGGACATCTAATCGCCCGTTTCAAAATGGAATGAAATTGAATGTACAAACTGAATTTGAGGAACGTTCGAGAGAAATGTCTACAAGTCGACATGCAAGACAAAGCGTCACTATGGAATTTACGCTTTGGTCATCTATATCATGCTGGTTTGAGAAGGTTGGAGAAAAATAGCATGGTGCATGGACTACCAGACATGGATTATAAAGGAAAGTTTTGTGAAGAATGTGTGCTCAGCAAACAAACAAGAACCTCATTTCAAAAGAAGGCAGAATATCAAGATAAACATATTCTCGAATTGATTCATACCGACATATGTGGGCCAATCACTCTGGTATCCTTCAATGGAAAAAGGTATTGCATTTCCTTTATTAATGATTTCTCACGAAAAACCTAGGTTTATTTCTTGAAAGAAAAGTCAGAAGTATTAGAGGTGTTCAAAAAGTTCAAAGTAATAGTGGAGAAGGCAACTGACAGACATATCGAAGCAGTTCGATCTGACAGAGGTGGTGAATACACTTTGACGGCCTTTATGAAGTATTGTGAAGAGAAGGGCATAAGGATATTCCTAACTGCACCATATTCACCTCAGTAAAATGGTGTGGCTGAAAGAATCGAATTGTTCTTGACATGATTCGATCAATGCTTAAGAGCAAGAACATGTCGAAAGAATTCTGGGCAAAAGCTGTACAATATGTTGTTTATGTTCAGAATCTATGTCCACATTCGAAGTTAGAAGATCAAACACCACAAGAAGCATGGAGCGGACAGAAGCCAACAATTTCTCATCTCAAAGTATTTGGTAGTGTATCTTATGCACATGTACCAGATCAACGAAGAACGAAACTTGAAGACAAAAGTCAAAAGTATATATTCATTATATATAATGAGAAGACAAAAGGGTACAAGCTATTCGATCCCATAAGCAAGAAAGTGATCGTGGGTAGAGACGTTCGAATAGACGAAGCGAGCAAGTGGGACTAGAACAATTCGACAAAAGTTATCGACGTAGTCGAAGAATCATATGTCGTTGTACCAACAAGCATTTCAACAGAACATGAAGATACTGAAAATAAAGATGAACCCCTACAACCCCGAATGCGAAGTTTTCAAGATTTATATGATTCGACAAATGTGGTACACCTTGTGTGCCTTCTGGCATATGCTGAAAACATCAGTTTCAAAGAAGCTTTACGAGACAAGAAGTGGAAAAGTTCCATGGACGAAGAGATTAGAGCAATAGACCGCAACAACACTTGGAGCTAGTCGAATTTCCAAAAGGTAGTCAACCCATTGGTGTAAAATGGGTATTCAAGAAAAAGATGAACGCTCAAGGAGAAATAGAACGATAAAAATCGCGACTTGTTGTGAAGGGATACAAACAGAAAGCAGGAATTGACTATGACAAAGTGTTTGCACCTGTTGCAAGAATGGAGACAATTTGATTGCTCATTTCTCAAGCTGCTCAATTCAAATGGTCGGTATTTCAAATGGATGTCAAGAAAGTAATTTTGAATGGTGTACTCAAAGAAGAAGTCTATGTCGAACAACCACTCGGGTATATGAGGATTGGAGAAGAGAAGAAGGTGCGGAAATTGAAGAAAGTGCTATATGGGATGAAGCAAGCACCGCGGGCATGGAACACACGCATCGACACATATTTCAAGGAGAATGGGTTCGAGCAATGTCCGTATGAACATGCCCTTTATGTGAAGAAAAATGGAATTAATGTATTACTTGTTGCTCTCTATGTCGATGACCTTATTTTTCTAGGCAGTGATGATCAGATGATAAAAGAATTCAAGAGCACCATGACACGCAAATTCGAAATGACAGACTTAGGTCTGATGAGATTCTTTCTTAGTCTGGAGGTTCGACAAGAAGAAACTGGAATCTTTATTTCACAGGAAAAATATGCAAAAGAAATCTTGGAAAAATATAAGATGAAAAGCTGTAATTCAATTTCGACGCCAATGGAACCAGGTGCAAAATTATCGAAATTTGATGGAGGGGAACGTGTCGATGTAAGCAAATATCGAAGCTTTGTAGGTAGTCTTCGATATCTCACATACACAAGGCCGGACATTTCATTAAGTGTCGGCATTATAAGTTGATTCATGGAGGAGCCAGTACATTCACATTGGAAGACATTAAAATGAATCCTAAGGTACATCCAAGGAACAATGTCATTTGGAATATTCTATTCAAGAACAGAAGACTACAAGTTAGTTGGTTACTCTGACAGTGATTGGTGCGGAGATATAGACGATCAAAAAAGTACTTATGGATATGTGTTCTTCATGGGAAACACTATATTTATCTGGCTTTCTAAAAAGCAATCAATAGTAACACTTTCGACATGTGAAGCTGGATATGTGGCAGCATTTTGGTGTGTTTGTCATGCAGTATGGCTTAGAAGATTGATGAGCAAAATGGAGTTAAAACAAGAAGGTGCAACTGTAATACAAGTGGACAACGAATCAGAAATTTAGTTGGCAGAGAATCCAGTAAACCATGAAAGAAGAAAACACATTGACGTTCGCTTTCACTTCATATTTATAAGGAAGGAAGTGTCGAATTGAGACATGTAGCAAGCAAGGATCAAGCAGCAGATATTTTCACAAAACTATTATCGAAAGAAATCTTCGACAGAGGCAAGAAATTGATAGGCATGATGGATAAACATTTAAGTTTACAGAGGAGTTTTGTTGAATAAACTTTAATGTTATAAATGGTGGGTTTCTATTAATAAGACAGTGGAAAAGTTAAAAATCTATTGTAATTGAAAAGCCAAGAGATAGTGAGTTATAATAGTATTTACTAATATCATTTATTTTCCTAGAATAATAGAAGTCCTTGAGTCTATATAAAGACCAAAATTGTATTCTATTTGATAACAAAAGACAAATATTTGTTTCCTTTCTAACAAAAGTTAATAAGCAATATCTAACTTTCTTAGTTTTTAACTACAACCACTTCATTTTAAAAGAGTTGAATGGATATGTGTGGGGAGGTTGTAACATAGAGATCTATTGGTCCTTTGTTTTTAATCGTAGCTATATCAACGTCAATGTTGTTTTGTTTCTTTTAGTTTGTGGTATACTCTATAATCTCTTCTTTAACTTCCAATGGACATTTGG